TAACTGAATTGAAATATTCACTAGCAGGGTTCAACAGGGTTCAACAGAAACAGGAAGAAAGCATCAGTGAGGTTGAAGACCTCCATCTGAAGTGATGGAGTCTAAGAAGCAAAACACAAAACACAATAGAATGAAGAAAAAAAGTGGACAAAGATTAAAGAAAGTTATGGGATATCATCAAGCAATATATGCATTATGAGAGTCCCAGAAGGTTATGAGAGAAAGGAGAAAGGGGCAAAGAGATTATTTGAAGAAATAATCACTAAATGCTTTAAGTAAGATAAACCCAAAGAGGCCTACACCAAGATACATTATCATCAGACTCTCAACAACCAAAGTGAGACTCTTGAAAGAAGCAAGAACAAAACAACTCTTCACATACAAGGGATGCTCAATAAGATTATCAACAAATTTCTCAGTGGAAGCCTCAAAGATGAGAAGGAATGAGATAATATATTTAAAATGCTGAAAGAAAAAAATGTAAACCATGCATTCTCTATCTAGCAAAACAGTCCTTCAAAAATGAAGGTGGGATTACAGACATTTTCTGATAAACAATATTTGACATCACAAAGGAGATTTTAGCCACAGCAATTAGGTAAGAAAAATAAATAAAAGGCATTCAAATTGGAAAGGAAGAGTTAAAATTACCTCTGTATGCAGATGATATGATCTCATATTAGAATACCCTAATATTCCCTCCAAAACTCATTAGATAAAAAAATGAATCCAGCAAAATTACAGACTACAAAAATGCAACAAATCAGTTGCATTTCTGTACATGAACAATGAACAATCTGTTAAGGAAATTAAGAAAACAATTCTACTTATAATAGCATCTAAAAGTATAAGCAAAGGCAACAAAGCAAAAGTAAACAAGTAGGACTACATCAAACTAAAAAACTTCTGCACATCAAAAGAAACAATCCAGAAAATGAAAAGGCAATCTACCAAATCAGAGAAAATATTTACAAATCACATATCTGATACAGGTTTAATATCCAAAACATATAAAGAACTCATACAACTCAATAACTAAAAAAAAACAAACAATATGATTAAAATATGAACAGAGGATCTGAATAGACATTTTTCCAAAGAAGACATACAGACGGCCAACAGATACACGAAAAGATGTTCAACATTACTAATCATCTGAGAAATGCAAATCAAAACCAGAACAAGATACCACCTCACAACTATTAAATGGCTCTCTTATCTATTATAAAAAAGACAAGAAATAACAAGCATTGGGAATGATGAGGAGAAAAGGGAATGCTTCTTCACTGTTGGTGGGAATGTAAACTGGTGCAGTCTCTATGGAAAACGGATGGAGATTTCTCAAAAAACTAAAAATAGAAACTACCATATGGGCCAGCAATCCCACTTCTGGGTATTTATCCAAAGGAAACAAAAACATTGTCTTAAAAAGGTAATATGTACCCCATGTTCATTGCAGCATCATTTATAATAGCCAAGAATATAGAAACAACCTTAGTGCCCATGGGTGAGTGAATGAATAAATAAAATGTGGTATACCTATACAATGGAAAATTATTCAGCCATAAAAAAAGAATGAAATCTTGCCACTTATGACAACACAGATGGACCCTGAGACATTATACTAACTAAGTCAGATAGAAAAAGACTAATACCTTATTATCTCACTTATACATGGAGTCTGAAAAAACAAAACAACAAATTCATGGATACAGAAAACAAATTGGTGGTTGCCAGAGCCAGGGTTTGGGGAGTGAATAAAATGAGTGAAGGTGATCAAAGGTAAAAACTCCCGGTTATAAAATAAGTAAGTCTTGGGAATGTAAAGCATAGCATGGTGACTATAGTTAATAATACTGTATAGTATATTTGAAAAACTGCTAAGTGAGTTGATCTTAAAAGTTCTCATCACAAGAAAAAAGCTGTAATTATGTGTGGTGATGGATGTTAACTAGACTCATTGTGGTGCTCATTTGCAATATATACAAATACCCAATCATTACTTTGCACACCTGAAACTAGTATATGTCAATTACCTATCTATCTGTCTATCTGACAAAGAATAAAATACCCAGGAATAAACTTAACCAAGGAGGTGAAAGGTTTCACATTGAAAACTACAAGTTTGCTGAAAGAAACTAAAGAATACACAAATAAATGGAAGGATATCCTGTGTTCATGAGTTGGAAGATTCAATATTGTTATATCAATACCACCCAAAGTGATCTAAAAATTCAAAACAATCCCTATTAAAATCCTAATGACATTTTTGCAGAAGTATAAAAGTCCATCCCAAAATTCATATGAAATATCAAGTTATTGTGAATACCTACACAATCTTGAAAAACAACAAAGCTGGTGATCTCACATTTCCTGATTTCAAACCTACTACAAAGCTATGATAAACAAAACTGTGTTACTGACATAAAGAAAGACATATAGATCAGTGGAACAGAATAGAAAGCCCAGAAATAAACCCTCACACTTATGGTCAAATGATTTTTTACAAGCATGCCAAAATTACTCAGGGCTACAAAGGACAGTCTTTTCACCAAATGGTGCTGGGGAAACTGGATATCCACATGCAAAGGGAAGAAGTTGGACCCTTTTCTTAAAGCATATACAAAAATGAGCTTATACTCAATCAAACACCTACATGTAAGAGCTAAACCTATAAAGCTCTTAGAAGAAAATATAGGAGAAAAGTTTCATGCCACTGGATTTGGCTGGATATAACACCAGATGTACACACAACAAATAAAAAAAATAAGTAAGTTGGACTCTAACAAAATTAAAAACTTTTATGCATCAAAGAACACTATCAACAGAGTAAAAAGGCAAGTCTCAGTATAGAAAACATGTATCCAAATTATTGATAAGGGACTGGTACCCAGAATCTATTAAAAAAAAAAAAACCTCAACAACAAAAAACAAACAACCTGACTTAAACATGGGAAAATGACTTAAACAGACATTTCTCCAAAGAAGATATACAAATGGGCAGTAGGACATAAAAAGATGTTCAACCTCACTAATCATTAGGTAAGATAACAGAAATACGTATTTTGGTCTCTGTCCCCAGTTCCTGGCACTAAGCTCTAAAACCCTTGTAATTTCCTTAGTGATAAGATCAGTAGGAGCAATTCTTGTTCTAGTATTTGAGCTTTGACTCCATCCCTGATACAGGGCTTCTAAAACTCTTGTAAGTTCTTAAGTGATAAGAACATTAGGGGCATCTTTTGCTCCAATGAGGCAACTCAGGGTGGGCTTCTGGATGGGGGCTAATCACCAGAATGACCAAGCCATGATTAGAAGCTTGGAATTTTCAGCCCAAGCGCCCCAGTCCTCCAGAGAGAGGAGCTAGAAATGGAATAATTAATTATGCCTACATGATAAAACCTCCATAAATGTCCCAAAAGAGTTCAGAGAACTTTCAGGTGGGTGAACACATCTATCAGGAGGGTCTGCAACTCCACAAGGATAGAAGCACCTGCAGTCACCATGCTCCTAGACCTTGCCCTATGTATCTCTGCATTTGGCTGTTCATCTGTATCCTTTATCATATATTGTACTTTAGTAAACTGGAAATGTAAGTAACTATTTTCCTGGATTCTGTGAGCCACTCTAGCAAATTAATTGAACCCAAGGAGGGGGTCATTGGAAACTGATTCATAGCTAGTTGGTCAGAAGCACAGGCGACAACCTAGATTTGAAATTGGCATCTGAAGAGGAATGGGGGCTGTCTTGTAGGACTGAGCCCTTAACCTATGGGTTTTGACAGTATCGAAATTGAGTTAAGTTATAGGATACCTATTTGGTGTTGCAGAGAAATGCTTGTTGTGGGGGAAAACACCCACATTTGGTTACCAGAATTATCAGACATGAAGGGTTCTGCATGAAAGTAAAGGAGACACATAGGAGAGGAAAGCGTTAAGTTCTTCCAATATAGTAGGGAACTTAGAGTCAAATCCCAATGAAATACCACTTCACGCCCACTTAGGGTAGCTATTATTTAAAAAAAACACACAGAAAATAATAACTGTTGGTAAGGGTGAAATGAAAAACCTTAGCATCGCTGGTAGGGATGAAAAATGATGCTGTAGCTGTAGCAAATGGTATGGTGGTTTCTCAAAAAAGTAAACAGAATTACCATATAATCTAGCAATTCTACTTCTCAGTATTTACCCAAAAGAATTGAAATCAGGGACTCAGATATTCTTACAGCCATATTCATAGCAGCGTTATTCACAACAGCCAAACTGCACTAACCCAAGTGTCTGTCCATCAATGGATGAATAAACAAAATGTGGTATTCAGCCTTAAAAAGGAAGGAAATTCAGACACATGCCATAACATGGATGAACCTTGAAGACATTGTGCTAAGTGAAATAAACCAGTCACAAAAGGAAAAATAGCTAATGTCCTGTTCTAATACCCTGTGCAGTCCAGCACCATCACGACCGCCAAGCACATGGAGCTCAGGGGCTATACAAGAGCAGACATAGGTCTGTTCTCCCTCTACCTTCCCATCTCCTCAGCTATGTGTTAACACTCTGACGTTGAGTACTCCTCATTCGTTCATTCTTCTAGGCTCCCGCGGCTCTCTTTCCCCATCTCCGTACACTGCCAGCTTTCACAAAATAATAATTTGCTCGCCGCTGGGCGGGGCCAACCACTTCCCTCCCCCAACAGGATGTAATTAAAATCAAAGTGACAGTTGTTAGCAAATGACTTCCCTGTTACCATGGTAAAGCTACTGATGCCATCTGTGATGTGGTCAAGGATTACTTACATTAGTCTAAGAAAAAAAAACAAACGATTAATAAAAGATGCTATTCGCCCGGGGAAGCCTGAATCCACCTCACAAGGAAGTTACTGCCGGAGCCCGGCCAGTAAAGGGTACCACCCTCGTAAACGTAAGGCACGCTTCCTGTGATACAATGACGTCAGGGGAGGGGCCCTGCGTCCGCCCCGCCCGGGCGTTTCCGGTTCAGGAGCAGTACGACACCGTGTGGGTCCCTGGGCTCTCGCACAGTACGGAAGTGTGCCCCGGCATACCGGAAGCCGCAAAAAGAACGATGGCGGGTTTGAATGTAAGAGATCCTGCGGTAGATCGTTCACTACGTTCGGTGTTCGGTAAGAGGAATTTATTGTTGCCAACCACCGGGGAAGGACGGACAGAGTCCGTGAGCGGCGCGGAAAGTCCCCTGCACCTCTTGAATAGCCTTGGGAGCCTTTGCTCTGTCAGGCGTGCAGCTCTACCTGCCTCAGTTATGGGGCGCCCAAACTGGTGAGCTCGTGGACAAAGTGAGGTTCCCCTTCTCCCAGGGGTTGGCATCCTTTCCACGACGTGGCCGAGGAAGTGAAACTAGCGTTCAGCTTCTGTGCGTTTCTCTCTTAATTTTCTAGCTTAAATTATTTTCTAGAAGCGAGGGCTCTTGGCAGGTGTCCCATACTACTTTTCACCCCCTATTTCAGAATACAGTTTATGTGGTGAGGGTATAGATACTTGTGTCCACTTCCCGCCCTGTTACCAGGACTTTAATTCTGTGCTTAGGAGCCCGTTACATTTTACCGAATAGTTCATTGATAGTGGTAGCAGCTACCTGGCGTTTCAAGGTGGATTGTAAGTAAATGAATGAACGGTTAAGACATCGCGAAAGATATTTTAAAAGGATCAGATATCTCCTAAGTAATCCTTTCAGCCGAAATAAGTTACTTCTTTTTAAGTACGTGTTATGATTTTAAAGCACCGTTTTAAAGGGGTATGACAAAACAATAATTTTTAAACATCTTCCACTACATGCATGGTCATTCTCCTTTGAGACTGTGTGTGTGTAAATGTGGACAGATTTGCTGGTTACAATGTTGATATTTTTAGTATTGTTAAGACTTGCAAACATTTAGGTACTAACAACGCCTAAGTGTTTTCACCAAAGTTAAGGAAAATGTAACTCAGATCAGTCTGAGAACTGATATTTACAATGGTACACTTTTTGTATTTAGACTCTGGTTTGTTTTTCTTGAAGTTAAAGTCAGCAAAGATTGAAATTCTAAGAGAGTATCATGTAACTGGGATTGGAGGAGCACTATTATTTCAATCCTGTTATTACATTTTCCCTGATAACTTAGAAACTGTTTACTTTCTTACTAAAGATCTAGGTTACAAACTCAGAATTTTAATGTTACTTATTTTCTTCTTTAGTGGGGAACATTCCATATGAGGCTACTGAAGAGCAATTAAAGGACATCTTTTCTGAGGTTGGACCTGTTGTTAGTTTCAGGTGTGATTCTCTTTCGCTACTTGGTGGGAGTTTCTTTAAAAATCACCAAAAAATTTGGCCCTTGGTAATAATGGCAAGATTTTTACTGATGACTTTTCACGTGCATTCTTCTTTTTTTTTGTAACAACTTTATTGAGATGTAATTCACATACCATACAGTTTACATTAATTTTTACTAAAAGATTAATTTTTTTGATGCAGGCAGCATTCAAAGCTCATGCCATTTCCAAGTATGCACAGGGTTTTACTCTCCTGGGCCTTTTGTGTTTTCTGTGCACATGTGTCCAGCTTCAGGGTCAGCCAGGTATGTGTGTAACTGGTTTGAGTTTTCTCCAGAATGTGCTGCACATGCACACAGTCAAGCAAAAAAATGTGCGTTCTCCAACAATGACTACAACCTCAAGCCAGTGGAGCTGTGAGCATTCTCTGCTCAACCACCCCTTGTTGTTGTCACTTCTACCAATAACACTGTAGAGTATGGGCTCTTCCCACTACACAGAATTGAGCAGGATCCTTCACTAGTCAGAGAAGCTGTTGATCCTCATTAGCATCCCACTCATATCAGCTGAGCTGGGGGAAGAACTGTAATTAAAAAGTAAAGTTTTTTGAATATTTAAAAAATGTTTCAGTGAGGCAGTCAGAGTGATAAAGTTATTTGCCTTACAGTTCACCAAATTAGAATATGGCAGTGCTTGCAAGAACCCTGTGTGTATGTAACATTTGTGCCTGATACTTGATTCTGCTCTTCAGGTTGGTATATGATAGGGAGACAGGAAAGCCAAAGGGTTATGGCTTCTGTGAATACCAAGACCAAGAGACAGCACTTAGTGCCATGAGAAACCTGAATGGGCGTGAATTCAGTGGGAGAGCACTTCGAGTGGACAATGCTGCTAGTGAAAAGAACAAAGAAGAGTTGAAGAGTGAGTATAAACCCCAGTTGTATGCAGCATAAGGTAGTAAAGATTTAACAATGAAGATTTTCCATTTATGGTATGTTTTAGCATCTGCTTAAATGGTTACCCACACACCTTCTTTACTTGACCCATCTGAGGTGCCTACATCAGGGAAGTGTATATCTCTGAGAAACAAGGTAAAGATGACTTTAGAAATCCTTCAGTTGCTGAGGAGTTAATTCCAGTTGAAGAGGAATTCAGGCTTACCAAGTGATTAGTAGCACTAATTATGTTACTGGTGTTTGCCATTCCTGTAACTATGTTGCCAGATCTGTAACTGGTGGGGATACTAAGGCATTCTTAAGGTTTTTTTGAGGTTATAGATTCAGGAATTCCATTTAGAAATTAGCATCTTTTTCTATTTAAACCTTTTGCTTCAGAAAGTGCTTGTCAAAGGAAATTGATATGCCCAATCCCTAATTTAGGTCCACCTATGTTATTGTGGCCAAGCTTTATTCTAAAAGCAGAAAATATACTCTGTCACTTCTTCCACAGAAATAAGAGACTTGCAAATCACCTATTTCTCAGCTCCAGAGAATTTAAGTTATCAACAGATCCTTATAGCAGCTCTGGAAAATAGGCACTTAAAATGATTTAGCTCTTTATTTTGCCTTCTTAACATTTTTGTACTTTCTTCCCAATCAGGCCTTGGCACTGGTGCCCCTGTTATTGAGTCACCCTATGGAGAGACCATCAGTCCTGAGGATGCCCCTGAGTCCATTAGCAAAGCAGTTGCTAGTCTTCCACCAGAGCAGATGTTTGAGCTGATGAAACAGATGAAGGTGGGAAGAAGCATTAAGTTATGAATAAATCCAATCACATCAAATTTTCAAGAGTTAATTGATCAAGTTAATGGAAATTATTCCCTGTGCTCAAGTAGAAGGTGTACCTGTTGAACACCATGTCTTTCTCTTTTGCTTTTCCATGTGTCCATGGTATACCTTACATTTTGTGCAGAGTTTCCATTAGTACACAAACATACCAACACAACCTGGCTGGGTTTTTGTAGCCCGTAGATATCAGATATAGATATTAAAATGTGGATTTTTTCCCTAAATGATGGTATTATGGTATTTGAAATGCCTCTTCCTTCTCTTGCCTGCCATGACCAAGATTTTGTGTGCTGTGCAAAAACCACGACATTATTACATTTTTCAGATGGGGATGCCTCTAAATCACTATTGATTTTTAAGTAATAAGCATTGAACTTGACCATTTTTCTGTTTATTTCCTCAGCTGTGTGTCCAGAATAGCCCCCAGGAAGCACGGAACATGTTGCTCCAAAATCCTCAACTGGCGTATGCTTTGTTACAAGCTCAGGTAGTGATGAGAATTGTGGATCCAGAAATTGCTCTGGTGAGTGCCTCTGGTTCTTTTATGCTGGGGTAAACCTTGAGTGAGGGTAGGAACTACCTGATTGCTTTGTTAATAAGACAGCTCATAGATTTGTCTTTTTACCTTTTAGAAAATTCTGCATCGCCAGACAAATATCCCAACACTGATTGCAGGCAACCCTCAGCCAGTCCACAGTGCTGGGCCTGCCTCAGGATCCAATGTGTCAATGAACCAGCAGAATCCTCAGGCCCCTGGGGCCCAGTCTTTGGTAGGGTTTTACCCCTTAACATTTTTTTATCTGTCTTAGAATGTCATTTTCATTTTAGGAGGGTATATTGAAAGAAGAATGGTCAGGAGCCAGTAGGTAATTTCAGTTTCTAGGCATAGAAGCAGTTTCTAGTTTGCAGAGTATATGGCATCTGAATGAATATAGATTTAGTGCCTAGTTTGTGGGGGAAAAAAGATGCCCTTCCTGTAAGCCCTTTTTGATAAGCTAATTTTGTGTGTCTGTGCATATGTAGCACTGGGGTTGGCACGTTGTTACTTTATACACATTGTTTCATTTCATACAGCGATTGTATTATCTCCATTCTTTCCAATGAAAAAAGTAAAAACCTAGCTTTCTAAGTGTGACACAAAACTGAAACCATAAAAACTCAATACACGTGAAAACTGAAAAATTTCTATATGGAGAAAAAGAAATAAACACCAAAGACAGATGACAACTTGGGAAAAACTTGTATTTGCCATACACGTGAACAACAGGTTTATTAAGAGCCCTTACTCATGTTTAAGAATGTTCGTTGCTACCTTATAATAGTGAAAAATTAGAAACATCCTAAATATACATCAGCAGAATGGAATTTTAAATAAACTGCATATGTCACCATGACTGACTTTTAAAAACATAATTCCATATAGCAATTAAGTTGAACTAAGATTCATGGTATTAACACAGATAACTTAAAAACATATCATACAGAAGTGAAAATAAGTGAATGTGGAAGCATTCCCAAAATACGGAATGTATGTGTCTGCATATACCCCAAAAACATGTTGAGTGAATTGGAAAGAATATCTTTAGTATATAATGATTTACATAAAATTTCAAAACATCTGTAAGAATTCTTAAGTGGTTGTCTAAGAAGGGGATACAGGGTGCAATTGGAGAAGACCACGTGGGAGATTACAGTTGTGTATATAATTTATTTCCTAAGCTGCATGGTTAATTTTATTTTCTATACATTTTATATATCTGGAATTTTTCGTAAGTAGCTGAAAAGACCTGTAAATTAGTAGGAAAATTACCAATAACACAGTGGAAAAGTTTGCAATGGACATAAACAGTTCTCAAAAGTGGAAATACAAATATACATTAAATATATGGAAAATTGTTCAACCTCAAAAAGATAAATATAAACAAAGTACAAAAAGCTACCATTTTTCACCTATCAGATTGGCAGAGGCAAAGAACTTGGATGGATCATATAAAGGTTTAGGGTGGGAGTTGGCAAACATCTTCTGTAAATGGCCCAGTAGTAAGTACTTTTTGGCTTGGCAGGCTGTGGAATCTGTCCTGGCTGCTCAATTCTGTCCTTGGAGGTATAAAATCAACCACAGACAATATATAAACAAATGCGTGTGGTTGCGTTCCAGTAAAACTTTATGAAATGAGGCAGTAAGCCAGATTTGCCCCATGGGCCATAGTTTGCTAACCCCTGCTCTAACTCAATAAATATTTTTTCAGAAATAGAATGAAATGAATTAAGGCCCAGAGAGGTTAACCGATCCAAAAACAGCATAATTGTAAGTGGAACATCCAGGATCTAAACCTGGTTTTATGTGACCTCTTAGCCTGTTTTCTCTTAACCACCTCACTGTACAACTCTCTGTTTTAGAATTTGTTTGTGTTTTCTGAAAGTATATGTGGTTTTTTTATAACAGCTATTATTCTTTCTTTATTGAGCTTTTTCTATTCCAAAGAACTACTTAATTCTCTGGGAAATACACAGGTGAAAACATAACAGTTGGTTTCCCTCCAGGAGCCTTCATGTAGCATTAAATTAACATTCCCCTTAATCCAAAATTGTATCTCAGGACCAGGATGAGAAAAGATTGGTCAAAATTTTTTTAAATCTTAAAAAAGGAAGACTGCCCTCAGTTTCTTTATAAAAATGTCCCAGTCTCCTCTTTTTCTCCTTGGGTTCAAGGCACTTATTTTTTTTTTACTCTTATTTCCAGGCCCCAGTCATGAAGTCAACAATAGGTGCTACATGTAGCCTCTGCATACAAATAAGAACTTCTCCATCTCAGCTTTCAGAATATGGTCCACCTTAACTGTGTTACAAGCAGGCTCTTCATGTGTATTGCATCTTCTCTTCAAATTTTGTTATAAACCTAAATCTGCCTCTGACATGCTATAGAAAAAGGATATTTGGTAGCGTATTTGGGGGTATCAATTTGAAGAGTTCTTTAAGGTCATAAACTTTGTATGTTGCATGTCCACAGAAATATCTACATACTCTGGTTTTTCTCTTGCTCAGGGTGGCATGCATGTCAATGGTGCACCTCCTTTGATGCAAGCTTCTATGCAGGCTGGAGTTCCGGCACCAGGGCAAATACCAACAGCTGTAACAGGGCCTGGCCCTGGTTCCTTAGCTCCTGGAGGTATGTTTCATTTAGAGTCTTCACCATTTTGGTATTTTGCTAAAGTTTTTTATTGCAAATGGGATAGATCTTGATATAAAATTAATATACAACTAGGAAATATATATCCTAGGAGGAGGAAATAGTTGATTTCCTATATACAAATCCTATATGTGTGATTATGACAACAGGGAAAAGGACAATAAAGTGGAAAGGTACAGTAACACTTCCAAATTAGTGAAGGGAAAATTAGAATGAATGGAAACCAGACCAAGGCAACAAAGACAGAGAAAAGAAAATGATATTGTGAAGTAAGTAAAATAAAAGTAGAGTAAGGGGGAAGGAATAAAATCGTGTATAGTCATTATTCTACTAAGTGTGAAAGACTGAATTCTTCCATTAAAAGCCAGAGACAAATTAGAGTAAAAGCACATGGAAAAAAAAACAGATACAGAATACATGGACACATTTCTTCATATGTAACAGCTATAAAATTACATTTCATTAAGTCAGACCAAAAAACAGGAAGAAAACAGAATTTTGAAAATTGCATGTGTTCATTGAAAGTATACATAGGAATTAATAGAGCATTGCTATTATACTGTTAGCTTTTTGTCATTGAACAGTTGTAACTGAAATTATGCATGAAGTGGTGATTCCCCATATGAAACACCTGTATGAATACACAATGTATATCAGTATTAAAAGTTTTTATACAGCAAACTTGCTTCTTGTTAATTTATCTAATCTGGGTTAGAGTGACTGCAATGCTACTCATGGGGGAATTCGAATCTAAATTGTTCTGTTTTATACAGAGACAAGTTAACAAGTAATGGAAGAAGGGATTTTTACAGAAATTTCAGCAACTCACAGTTTTCATTTATCCTATAGTGTTGTAGTTAAATTATCTTTCAGTGAAAGAGAGTCTGTATTTTATACATTTATGAAATATAGGTGCATAACTTACCTTAAAATAGTTGTAATGTGGTTCTACTGTACATGACAAGTATGCAAGCCATGACATATACAGCTGATTACATGAGTTGAAAAATATCCAAATACCCTGTTCAGTGAGACTAGTGCACCGACCATGCACTTGGATGTCACAGCAATGTCAAATAGCTATAACGGTTTCTAAGTGACTGCTCTCCATTTCTGGACTTACATTGTCATGAACTGTTAATGACAGTTTCATAGAGTGAACAAGAGTTCACCAAGTGTGAGTCAGCATTGTCTGGGGACCACACTTTCAGTAGCATTGTATTAGTGCACAAAAAATAAATAAGGACATTAAGGGATAAAATAATGGAATCAGTAAGCTTGATTTAATATATAGAAGGCACCTTACATCTTTTGACTGGAGGAGTCACCCCCATGCCCCCAAGTGACCATGGCATAGTAAAACAAACAAATAAACAAAAAACTTGACCATGTACTTCGCCATAAAATAAAAACAAATTTTAAAACATTAAGGTTGTATAGGCTGCATTCTCTGATTATGAGCCAATAAAATTAGAAATAAATAAAAGGTACCTAGTAAAACCTTTACTGGAAGAATACCCTAGGTAATTTTTGAATTAAAGAAAAGTAGAAATTTTAAAATTATCCAAAAGACAACAAAAAGTATTACACTTCATATAAAAAAGTACGGGAAATAGTGAAAGCAGTACTTAAAGGAAAATGAATATCATTAAGTGCCTATAGTATTTTTTAAGATTTTTTAAAATATATTTTATTGATTATGCTATTACAATTGTCCCATTTTCCCCCTTCACTCCCCTCCACCCTGTACCCCCTCTCCCACCGATATCCCCCCCTTTAGTCATGTTCATGTGTCATACTTATAAGTTCTTTAGCTTCTACATTTCCCATACTATTCTTACCCTCCCCCTATCTATTTTCAACCTACAATCTATGCTACTTATTCTCTGTACCTTTTCCCCCTCTCTCCTCCTCCCACTCCCCTGTTGATAACCCTCCACGTGATCTCCGTTTCTGTGGTTCTGTTCCTGTTCTAGTTGTTTGCTTAGTTTCTTTTGATTTTGCTTTAGGTGTGATTGTTAATAATTGTGAGTTTGCTGTCATTTTACTATACATGTTTTTTATCTTCTTTTCTTAGATAAGTCCCTTTAACATTTCATAAAATAAGGGCTTGGTGATGACGAACTCCTTGAACTTGACCTTATCTGAAAAGCACTTTATCTGCCCTTCCATTCTAAATGAAAGCTTTGCTGGATAGAGTAATCTGGGATATAGGTCCTTGTCTTTCATGACTTGGAATATTTCTATCCAGCCCCTTCTTGCCTGTAAGGTCTCTTTTGAGAAATCAGCTGACAGTCTGATGGGAACTCCTTTGTAGGTTACTGTCCCCTTATCTCCTGCTGCTTCTAGGATTCTCTCCTTCATTTTTTTTAATATTTTATTTTATTTATTTTTTAGAGAGGGAAGGGAGGGAGATAGAGAGAGACACACACACATCAATGTGCGGTTGCTGGGGGTTATGGCCTGCAACCCAGGAATGTACCCTGGCTGGGAATCGAACCTGGGACACTTTTGGTTCCCAGCCCGCGCTCAATCCACTGAGCTACGCCAGCCAGGGCTTCTCCTTCATTTTTTACCTTGGCTAAAGTAATTATGATGTGCCTTGGTGTGTTTCTTCTTGGGCCCAACTTCCTTGGGGCTCTCTGAGCTTCCTGGATTTCCTGGCGGTCTATTTCCTTTGCCAGACTGGGGAAGTTCTCCTTTATTATTTGTTCAAATACGTGCTCAATCTGTTGCTTTTCCTCTTCCCCTTCTGGTACCTCTGTAATTCGGATGTTGGAACGTTTAAAGATGTCCTGGAGGTTCCTAAGCTTCTCCTCATTTTTTTGAATTCTTATTTATTCATTCTTTCCTGTTTGTTTCTTTCTTCCTTCTGGTCCACTCTATTGTTTTGAGTCCCAGTTTCCTTCCCATCTCTATTGGTTCTCCGTGCATCTTCCTTCATCTCTTTTATGGTAACCTGCATTTTTTTCATGTAATTTGCGCCCAAAATCAACCAATTCTGTGAGCTTCCTGATCACCAGTGTTTTGAACTGTCCATCTGATAGATTGGCAATCTCTTGGTCGCTCAAAAGGATGAGCCCTGGGGCATTGATATGTTTTTCTGTTTGAGACATGTTGCTCCTGTTACAGTGAGGGGCGGAGCCTTAGGTGTTCACCGGGGCTGGGCACCCCAGTCGCTAGATTGTGACGTTGTATGTGGGGGGTGGGCCGGGGGTGGGGCGGGGGTGGGAGGGAACAATGGCGGTAGCTCCATTCTCCTGGGATCTCAGTCCCTTCCCTGAGATCCTGGGTTGTGCGCTCTGCCCTGGTTCACAATTGCAGCCTCACTGGGTCCACCAGTTGCCGCTTGCGTACTCAGGGTCCACCGCTGCGATCTTGTGCGACCCGGATGCCTCACACGCTCCCGGTTGCCTATGCACCCAGTTCTCCCTGTTCTCCACGCTCGAGACCTGCACTCGGCTGCTGCTCGTCTCCGCACCTCCTACCAGTCTGGATGAACGGGTCTACGTCAACTTCTTGGCTCTCCAACTTCCATTCAGATAAATTCTCTATCAGTTCTGGGTGTTATTCTGCCTCTAAATTGTTGTTCTAATCTTGGTTGTATATGGAAGTATGGTGCGTCCACCTATGCCTCCATCTTGCCAGAAGTAGATTTTTTTATTATTATTTATTTTTAGAGAGGGAAGGGAGGGAGAAAGAGAGAGAGAGAAACATCAATGTGAGGTTGCTGGGGGTCATGGCCTGCAACCAAGGCATGTACCCTGACTGGGAATTGAACCTGCGACACTTTGGTTCTCAGCCCCCGCTCAATCCACTGAGCTACGCCAGCCAGGGCTACGTGCCTATAATATTAAAGAATAAAGGAACTCTAAATTCTAGTTTTAAAGAATTGCAAAAATAATTTTAAAAAACCAGATCAAAAAGAGGGAATTATAAGTATATAAAAGTTGTTGTTAAGTGTAAATGAATTTTTAAGTGATATTTTTTGTGAGCTTGTAGCATTCATACTTCTGAAATTATTAAAACTTCACTAAAAGTTTTGAGATACCCTGGACAAAGCTGTTTGACAGTTGATGAGAAGCAAGAATAACCTACTAGGAAAGTAGGCAAAGAAAATAAGTAGGCACTTTCCAAATGGCAACAAGAACAAATTCATTTACAGTCAAGATTGTAAGTTAAATAGCAAAATTTTGTTTTACTTAAACCCATCCAACTAGCAAAAGTTTCAAAGAGAGATGACACTATTGATGGGAAATGTGGTATCATTAACAACATTGCTGGTGGAAATGTGAAGTTTTTCAGCCGTTTGAGAAAGTATCCTCACAGTAAAGATTCATAAACATTTTGACCTACCAATTTCATTTCTGGGAAGCTAGTGCATACAATAAAAGTGCCATTATGTGATAGTTTATAATATGAGAAATCATGCCCATAATTCCTTCTGCCACCACATTCTTCAGATCCTAAATATTTATATTGTTTTGGTGAGCAGTCTGAATAAATCAAAATGTTATGGCTAGAAGAGAGCTTTGAAATCAATTAGACCTGCAGTTATCAAACATTAGTGTGCATTAGAATCACCAACAGAGCTTATTAAAATACAAATTGCTGGTCTCCATCCCCAGATTCTCTTAATTCAGCAGGTCTGAGGTAGGGCCCTGCGAATTTGCAGTTATAACAAGTCCTTTATGATGCTGAATCCACTGGTCTGAGGTCCATATTCTAAGCAGTGGTTTAGGCCAGTTCCTTTGTATTACATATCAGAATGCCTGGAAATAAGGTAATTTTATCAAATTACTTGTTTGAAATCACATTTAGTGGCAGGACTTGGGCTAGCACAGGTTCAGGTTTTTTATCCAGGGCTCTTTGATACCTGGCATGTTAAATGGAATAAGAGAATGTGAAGTGTACTTGGTAATGTAGGTAAGTATTAATAACTGCAAACAGTTGAGCTTGTCTCTTTTCCCCACTCGTAGCATATACTGTTCCTTTGAAGAAAAGAGAAGTATTTCTATGTGCAAAGGACAAGACAGGGACTTAGGGTACATGACTATTCTTCATATAGCAGTCATCACACCCTAACTGGTTAGAATAGACCAGTAGTTCTCCATTCTATTAGACCCAGTGCTCTCTTTTCATAACAGATACTTTGCAGTGACTCTTTACTATCCTGAAATGAAGTGCACACATGATGATATAACCTACTTAACATGATTTCAAAAAAGATAATCAGCACAACTCCCTAACTATACTATAAAGGATAAATTAAAAGGAATTAATTTATAACAAAAAGTAATTTTTAATATGCAAGTATTCAGGCAGAACTACACTAGAAAACAAAAGGTAGCAGTCAGATGCTTGCACATATACCATGAATGTAAAGGGTACAAATGTAGACAGATACAGGTATTTTTTTTTTTGCAAGACAGATACCACAAGGACTGTTGACATTGGTGATGTGATTTTCTGAAATGGTGAAAACTCCTGGTAAAGTTCATAACAGAACAGAATATAGTACCCATAATTTACTCAGTCACTGCAAAAGACCATTTTGTTTACAAATGAAACAGACCTAGGTTTTAAGTTTGTATGACTATAAACAGATTTTCATTTGTGTGAATGTTCAATGAGACATTTGAAAGTTTTGCAAGACAAGGTAATTCTTGATTTTGTGGAACTATCTCATACATTGCAGTATCCCTGTTAGCTTCTCATTAAATGCCAGCAATGCCCCCACAAATCTTTGTTATAACTAAAACAGTATACCCATACATTTACAAAATACCCCAGAAACAGTACAGTCTCCTGTGAGAGGAGTTACATGGTTGAATGCCATTGTTCTACATTACAGAACTGCCTGCCAAGGTACTGGTAACCAGTGAGATTAAATATTCTTATTTAATTCACTTTTATGTCACTGAAGCTTAAAATATAACAAATTTCCGTCTTCTATGTAGCTGCATTGTTTCGTGGTAGTTATCTTTGTAGGTTTCTGCTTGTGGGTCAGAAAGAGGAAATTTGTTAACTCAGCCACTGTGTTAATTTTTTACCACTGTTCTAACGTGTAGTTTCTTTCCTGCCCTTTATATTCTAGGAGGAATGCAGGCGCAGGTTGGAATGCCAGGAAGTGGACCTGTGTCCATGGAGAGAGCACAAGGTAGATAAATAGTAATACCTGATTAATGTGAACTGGACTTGGAAATGTTCTCTATCTGCACTGTCTAAGATGGCAATATGGAAGCCACTAACCACATATAGATACTTGCATGTCAAAATAATTAAAATTAAATTTAAATTAGGTAAAATCTAAAATCCAATTCCACATTACAACTGCTCAATGGCCACAGTAGGCTCATGGATACCCTGCTGGATATTATAGATATAGAACATTTCTGTCATTGTAGGAAATTCAGTTGGATACCTCTGGTCTACACTTTCCATCTAGTGATTCAGAGCCTAGCTCTACAAGAATTGATGATGAAGCAAATGAATCCTTTGGTGCCATTTAGTTTATTTTACCTTTTCCTGATAGTCGAATGATTCTGCTGACATGTTTGCTCTCTCTGTGTAAACATTTGTTGATTTAATAAATTTTAATAATGAGTTTGTAATATGCGGCTGGATATGTAGAATACTAAATTGAAATCCCAGAGGAAACAGGGAGGGACCAAAGGCCTATGAAGCTTACTTGATAAGTGTATATTGTGCTGTGGCAGTAACACTGGATACCATAACAGTAGACACTCCAAAATCTCCATGTTATCTCTCTATGTTACCTGAATTTAAAGAAAAGGAAGTACAGTGGTGCAGTTGAAAACAACATTAGGTAGAGAGACAGTGAGAAAACAGAAAGAACTAACCAGTAAAACTGAATGCATATTGTAGCACAGGTCATTTAATTTTTATAAACAACCTATGAGTTAGGGTCAGCACCTCAGTTTCCAGGTAAAGGTGTGGAAGCTGAAAGTACTGAGTTATTTACTGAAGGGGGCATGGTAAGTAAATGCCAATATCTGAGTAACTTGGACTGGACTTGGTACACTAATCTTCTCTTCCAGCTAGTAAGTGACAGAGCTAAGATTCTGAAGTCTCTAATTCTAGAATCTAGCCTCTTGTTCAGTCCGCACCACCTCTATTAACCCAAATATATTTTCTTTGGATAGTCATAGAGAAGCTTAAGTTACTTCTTAGCATATGGCTTATAAGTGAAACCTATTTTTAAGCAAAATATTAAGATACAGGACTGTATACTTACTCCTTGTCTATGTACACTGGGGTTGGTTACTGAAGTGACAGAACTAGTAATCTTGTCAGACAGTTGGTAGTAGGACAAGCTGTTAACTAAATACCTCATCTGAGCATCCCATGTTTTTGTGTAGTTGTGCCCAACCCCCACTGGCTGATCAATACATTGTGTATGTATCCCAAAGTATGTAGTCATGGGAAGGAATTGGAGTTTCAGTCATACTTTTACCTTTCCCCCAAGCCATTATTCAAGCTAGAGCTTTTTAATGTGTACTTCCATAAGGCATCTTCCTTCCTGCTATAGTTATCTTCATATTTTTCTGGTCAAAAGTTAACAAAGGGAAATGGCTCAAGTTTTGAAGATATATCGGGGCTACTTTCATGAAGAGACAGAGTGAGATGAGTTTCCTTTTATAGTTTTCCTTCAATACCAACAAAAAAAGCAAGAATCTTTGCATTTGTACCTAGTTTGTCTTTCTTTTCTTGGAATCTGTTTCTTTTGCACATTTGTAATGGTGAAAGGAGACAGTGAGATGTTTAAGAAGATACTTCCTCTTGCCTTCTGCAGCCTTTGTTTAGTGTTAGTGCCCTTGTCATCTCATTAGTCCTCATTTGCTCTTATCATGATGTCTGTTTATTATCAAAGACTTGCAGTGGCATAGTATTTCTTGAAGAGTGATATTCTCCTTCCTTGTCTAAAGTTCATTCACTGCCCTTTCTCCATTTGGTACTTCTGCTATAGTAGTCTCCAGAATAAATCTTGCCTTCTACATTCAGTCTTTCATTTTTACTTATGAAATATATTTATATTCTTTACCTAAGTTAGAGATTCAGAACCACCCTTTTTATATTTTGTTTCTTTTTTTTAATGGAATCATAAAGTGATTTAGGAGACTCGTAGTAGCAGAGGTGAAAATTAAAAGTGGCTGGTTATTCCTGCCCAAATAAAATCAGTGGCCCAGAGGTGTCAGCTTCAGAAGCAAGCTGATCAAAGCAGAACAGTTTCAGATTCCAAAGACACTAAAATAGTTTAGGAAGATTTTGTAGCCTGGAGCAAACTAATGAAATCTTGTCTTTTTAACTTAACATGTGTAAATCTCCAGTGTCTGTATGTGTATGTTTCTGCATGGGTATGCAAGCTCTTTTAAATGTCTGCTCTTTCTCCTTTTGAACTGAATGCTCACCTAGGAACCCTACAGCACTCGCCCGTGGGACCTGCCGGGCCTGCATCAATTGAGCGAGTTCAAGGTACCCATTGTATCTGTGGGTTTCCTTTTGCTTGTGGTGTTCAGGGTGGGACGTTGAGAGGACAAGGGCTGCTTGGCAGTCATCCTCGTGTTCAGAACCCAAAAGGGTAGTGTTACGGGTTTTTAATTTACTCCTGTTGGGGCCACAAGCCTAAGATTGACCTCTTCACACAGGGCAGAGAACATGGATGATATGGGCATCTGTCCGAGGCTGTACTCCCTCCCTACTGGTGTCAGGAGGCTTGGATGGAATAGCAGTCTGCAAGGAGACAGCAGGTTCTTGCAGAGCCATGGCAGTGTTCACATATGCCAAGACCCTACCTCTCTTTTGTGACTCTGGTCCTTGACCTAAGATTGATTATAAGGAAAACCAGGAGCATAAGTTTCTTCAGGTTGCAGTGCTAGTCCTTGGCAGGTTGCTCCCCAGTTTGCTCTTTATATAATTCCATCCATACCTCTGACATGGTACAGATTCTGCCTACACCCTGCTTCTGTTCTTGAGCTGCAAGAGGAGTCTGCTGTGGTGAGGTTTCACCCACTCTAAGGTGTCTGAATTATGTTGTCAGTGGTATATAGAGTCATTTCTTGTTTCCTTGTGTGTCCTTCACAGCAGTAACTCCCCGTTTGTTTCCCTGTCAGTGCCGATGCAAGACCCCAGAGCAGCTATGCAGCGTGGGCCCTTGCCTGCCAACATCCCAACTCCTCGAGGTCTGTTAGGAGATGCTCCAAATGATCCACGTGGGGGCACTTTACTTTCTGTAACTGGAGAGGTAGAGCCTAGGTAAGCAATGACACAGCAGTAAAATCGTAGACAAATCAGAATTTTCCCTTACTTTGAGAACAAAGTCTTTCCATACAGTTATACCTGTTGGTTGCTGTCCAAGACTTAGTACTTCCCCTTGGGCAGAGGTGTGTAGTTGGGTATGTCATTTGGAACTAACCATGACTACTCCCATCTTCAGAAATTAGAAATTCTAGTGCACATACCTGAATAGGAAAAATTTATACTGCTTCTTGGTAGTAGTAATTTTAATAATGGCAACAATAATAATAATAAAATAATAATTGATATTGGGATTATGCCTCTGGCTCTGCTCTGAGTATTATTAGATCATCTCATTAAATCCACACAAACCTATGAGATTGATACCAATATCAGTCCCATTTTACCAATGAAGAAACTGAGTCATAGAGAAGCTAAGTAAATGTGCCTGAGATTACACAACTAACAAGTGGTGGAACTTAGATTTTAACTCATATGGTAACAATGTTCTTCAGCACTATGCTGCCTACTCACTGTGTATAATGGATATGCATTAATTTCTCCTTAATTATGAGTGCCCTGACCAAATACGAATTTCTGGAATATGTTGATTTGTATCTCCATAGCTTTTCTTCAGCATGTTTGGTGTTACTCTCTTAGCACTCATATACTGATATTTGCAACAGTTCTTGTCTGATTTTTACTCAGTTATCTTCTGGTTGACAATTTTGTCTTAGTTTTTTGGCTCTGTTTTAAAATATAACATTTTTTTTTCATCTGTAGAGGTTACCTGGGACCACCTCATCAGGGTCCACCCATGCACCATGTCCCTGGCCATGACAGCCGTGGCCCACCCCCACATGAGATGAGGGGAGGGCCATTAGCTGAGCCCAGACCTCTAATGGCAGAGCCCAGAGGACCCATGCTAGATCAGAGGGGTCCACCCTTGGATGGCAGAGGTAAGGGCAGACCATGGCACAGCACTGCCTGGCAGTTGTAGGTTGGTGATAAACCCAGCTGTCTTAGGCTCTAATCTGGAATAAAGAATGCTGGAGTGGTAGGGTTGGCAAGCATTTTTAAGATTTATCTGCAAATCTGAGAAATTGAGGAGGAGAAAGCAGTCTCCTATAGTTGGAGGTAAATGTGACTAAAGGAATTGGTTTCTGTCTCTCTTGGATTGTTCATTCTTCTTGTAATAAAGGTGAGTAACTACACAGTGGTTTTCTTTCACCTTGCTTCATAGGCGGAAGGGATCCCCGAGGCATAGATACACGAGGGATGGAGGCACGAGCCATGGAGGCGAGAGGATTAGATGCCAGAGGATTGGAGGCCCGTGCGATGGAGGCCCGTGCGATGGAGGCCCGTGCGATGGAGGCCCGTGCGATGGAGGCTCGTGTGATAGAGGCCCGTGTGATGGAAGTCAGAGGGATGGAGGCCAGAAGCATGGATACGAGGGGCCCAGTCCCTGGCCCTAGAGGACCTATACCTAGTGGAATCCAGGGTCCCAATCCAATTAACTTGGGGGCAGTTGGCCCCCAGGGATCCAGACAGGTATGTATGGCATTCACTTCTGGCTTCTATGTGAAATCTTGATCTGTTCAGGAACTACTTCTTGAGCCTGATTATAACTATTTTCTGATTTGGGCTATTTGTCAGCTTGTTGGAAAGGGAAGATTAGAATCTCCCTTCCTTTAGTTTCTCTGTCCCTTAGGGTGGTGATTTTTTGATTACCAAGATAATAGTCCAAAAGGGCAACCTTGTGCAACAATTTCAGAAGCTTTTCCATTCAGAGCAGAGACCCTGAAACTCTAGAGATAAAGAGTATATCTGTAGAATCTAGGCATGGGTCACTTGTAAAACCTCCCAAATGATTCTAATGTACAACCATAAAAGCCACTGCATTAGAGCATGTAAAAAGCATGTAAAGATAATCTTAGGTGTACAGAAACCTGTTTTAATTGCTTTCATTGCATAGCCTAAATAGTGGAGTGTGAAAGGCAGTTTACTAATGCTCACCTTAAGCCCATGTAACTGAATTCTGATCTTTGCTTTCTTTATATTTATGTCTCTCCAGCAGTGAGAGTATATGGTTGTCTGTGAATGTCTATGTCGTCATCTCCTCCCTCTTCATCCCCAGTTGGTTATGGGGAGGTGTGTATCTTCCCTGAGTTTTTATATGTCAGAACCTTCATCTCCCTCCCAGGAGTGTCCAACCTTTTGGCATCTCTGTGCCACACTGAAAGAAAAAGAATTGTCTTAGGCCACGCATTAAATATACAAATACTAGTGGAAATTTTAAAATCTCATAATATTTTAAGTAAATTTACAATTTTGTGTTTGGCTGCATTTATAGCCATCCTGGGCTACAAGTTGGACACCCCTGCATCTGGCCCTTCCACTTTCCTTTTTCGTATATATGTTTTCCTCCTTCCTCTGCATAGTTCTGTCTCTCTTTCCTCTTTCATATGCTTCTGTGCCTTCCTCCTTTTGTGTGTGTTGGGGGAGGGGGGAGAGAGAGGAGAGAATGTCAGAGCTGAAGTAGAACATGTCAATCATCCACTTCTCTCATTTTGTAGGTTTGGAAACTGAGACCCAAGAATTCAGGTGACTTGTCTAAATTAACACAAGTAAAAAGTGACAGAGCAAGGAATAGCACCCACTCTTTTTTCCAGTGTACCACTCTTTCCTATTACCTGCACACTGCATATGGGTATATGTGTGCCTACATCCCCCTCTTTAAAATGAAACATCATTATCTTGTTTCTGATATATGTAGAAGAAAACTCTTTATTGTTTTTCAAGTTGTGCTTTTAAAAAATGTATTCATGGACCTCTGTGTTTATTGTGTGTGCACTCTATGGTCAGTAGCCTCATAATAAAAATGGTCTCCAGGTGTTCACTCAGTCATTGAACAAATGTTTATGTAGCAGCTACTATGTACCAAACAGAGCTATAGGTAGTAGGGATATAGCAGTGTCAACCAAAAAAGTCCCTGTCCCTATGGGCTTATATTCTAATTGGGGAGAAAAAAAAATAACTACTTGATGTGCTTATATAATTCTGTCGATAATTCTGTGGAGAAAGACATTGAAAATAGTGGTTGGAAGACTATTTCTGGATGTCTTGCTCCTTTGTCTCTGCTAGTTTTTGAAGTAATTACCCTGTAATATTAGGCTTATATAGTTCTCATTAGTCGGTTCTATAAAGCTAATTAGGTCTGAGGTAGAGAAAGAAATTTACATTCAAACCATTTAAAAATGGTTTAAGTCAATATGTACACTTATAAATAAATATGTAAAATATATTCATCCATATATAATAGATACACAATAAGAACCTCACTTCTGCCCCTGTACCTGTCTCCCCTATAACCCCATCTCCTACAGATAATTGCTTTTATTAGATTGTTTTGTTTCTTTCTAACAAATAAGAATATATACTCATACTTTTTCAAATGTGAATATACATATATTTTTACATTTCACTCCTTTCACTATTCTGTGCCTTGTTTTTCACTTAACAGTATATTCTTAATTGATAATTTCAAATCAGATTTTAAAATTAACTCCAGTACACATAAGTTGGAAACTCATCATCAGTAAAAGGATTATTGTTACTAGGGTGATTGTGTAACTTACCGAACAGGGACACATTTGAGAGTGAGTGAGAGGTCTGTTAGTATTGACTGTTTTAGGCAAACCTAGATGTGTTATCACACATATCATTATTTATCTGCCTAGAGTAGGCACTCTAGAAATTTTAAATGGCAGTTAGTGAATGGTTACATCGCATTATGTTACTTCAAGTTAGTATTGACCGAAGGTTCAGGAAGGTTATTCTCAGAGATGTTTCAGATCTGTAACAGATCAGATCTGTCTCTGGATTTAGTATCAATAAAGAACAGAAAGTAATAGTTCAGCAGGCTGTACAAAGCCATACTAATACTTCATCTCTTTAGTGTCTTTAGGAAATGAGTCCATGCATGTAAGTGAATGTTTTGGATAATAAAACTATTCTATCAAATTTATTAAACTACTTAGATGAGAAATAACTTGTGAAGTGCATTATGCTTTCTTCCCTTCTTAAACAGAATACAAAAAATGATTTTAATCATTTTGATTATACAAAGTCATCATTAAATGTATCCATTATTATATATGCTATAGTAGAGGAGTTATTTCCTGTTTGGTTCCTAGTTTCTGTCACTGTCAGGCTGTCACTTGGCTCCTCACATTGCTGTCATGGTATCTGCTCCTAACAGTCTATCCACATTTCTTTTATGCTTTGCTTCTTCTAATCTGCTGGGGAAGCAGGTAACAAGTTTGTTAACGATGTGTGTTTAGTAAGAGTACCTAAGGTCTGGTTGAATGCCTGAATGTGAATATAACTACAGCATAGGGACATTTTCACAGATTCTAGGGGCTCTGAGGCCTTTCCTTGGGTTATGGTAGTCTTCTCAAAGATTGAACTCACCAAATATCTGAAATACTAGTAAGTATGATATAACTGCACTTTGTTCTTTTAATTTGGGTCAGTCATATTTCTTGGTCTATATTTAGCATCTGCTGCATATTCTCTCTGGAAAGTTACCAAAAGGAAATGTTGTGCTAATAGCAATCTTTTCCCCAGAGGCCTTCCCATCTCCTTTCTGCCTCTGCCATTAGGAGCATCTCTGCCTTACTTGTGGGATAGGGCCCTTTGGGATGAACAACCTATATCTGATTGAACTAGAGGTAGGCGGTATCCCTGTGAATGTAGCTTCCCAGTGGGCCAGCATACATTATCTCTAGAACCTGTCAGCTTTCATTTCCACTGACCAGTAGTTTCCAGGATGCTCCGTGTTCTCTGTGCTTATGTGGCTGAATTTTGCTTGATTTAATGGTATCCAGTTGTGCTGTGTGATATTTGTTGATGATGCTGAAGCTGTTGTAAGCAAACGTGTCTAACTTGCTAGTTGATCTCTGCCTAAACCCTGCCTTCTGCCATTGCTAGCAATAGGAAATGATCTTCAGAATCATTAATTTGCTTTTCTTACTTATATCCATAATCAGATCATATTTTTAACATTGCTGTTGCTGAATTCTGGCTACCTGTATGAGAAGTTCGAAAAATCTCTCATCTCTCTTTGTGCACACAGGTTCCAGTCATGCAGGGAGCAGGCATGCAGGGAGCAAATATCCAGGGTGGGGGCCAGCCTGGTGGCTTTAGTCCTGGCCAGAACCAAGTCACTCCACAGGACCACGAGAAGGTAAGCAACACAGAAGGTAAGCAATGCTGCCTGACTGCCTCCATGTGCACAAATCCTTTGGAATCCTCTTTTTAGTAGTTACTATGTGCCAGTGCTAGGTTTTCAGAGTCCCTTTGGCAGTGATGTGTACTCTTAGAACTCTGTGATCTTGTTGACCTGAAAATTTGCGAGCCATTCCTGAAATCCTTAAATGGATGTATGTAAACGGCAGCTAATCTTACATTTTTAGGTTTATCTGCCAATAGCAGTTATTTTGTGCAGGCCAAATTGACCTGAAAATCTAAATCCTTTTTTTCATCCCCTTCCAAGCTTATCCCTAAAAACAGTAGCAGATTCCCCACAAGTGTCTTTCTGTTTCTGTATTTGACCATTATGAGGAGCTCATGCCTGATGTAAAGGCCTAAAACTTGTGAAAAGGAGAGACTTTGAAAAGGATTGAAAACCAAAAACTTCCCAGAGCTCACAGATATCAATTTACTCTGCAAGACTTTTGGGTTCATAAAGGTGTCTGTTTTGAATCTTCTAATCTTAGATGATGTTGTACTTTTGCTTTTCATTATGCCTTTTCTCACCAGCTGGTTTTGGTTTCTTGTTTGCTTTGGGTTGATTTTCCGGGAGGCTGTTGTCAACGTGTGAAATATCCTTCCTTTTGGACACAACTGGTATTGTTTTTGTTTTTTTTTTTAGCTGCCATCATTAATGCTCACTCATTAACACTCACTATTCTTTCTTCTCTTTGCAGGCTGCTTTGATCATGCAGGTTCTTCAGCTGACTGCAGATCAGATTGCCATGCTGCCTCCTGAACAGAGGCAGAGTATCCTGATCTTAAAGGAGCAAATACAGAAATCCACTGGAGCACCTTGAAAGGTGAGCGTACTTATCTAGCCTGAATCAGACATGCTCCTTGTGCATTTGGGGTATATACTTCCAACCTTAACTAACAAGACTCTCCTGCTCTCAAGACTCCCTGAGGCCTGCACTCCTCTTGGCTAGACTCTTCAACCTTCAGTAGGTCAGCCCCTATCAGAATAACAGAAGGCTACAGAGCATCTGTTCAGCTCTTGAATTAGTTGCAATGTTTTTAAACCTTTTTACCCCGATAGCAAAAGTAATATATAATCAACTGTAACAAAATTAATCAGATACAGAAATGTAAAAAATTTGGGGTAATAAAGCTCTGCTTCCTCAATTCCAATCCCCAGACATAACCTCTAAATATAGTTTGATGTATATCCTTCCACAGTCAATTATGTTATTTTATAGCAGGCTGTCCTGTCAAACTGGCAAGAATACAAAGCATTTCAATAAAATGTATAAATGTTTTAGTTTCCAGTATTTATTTTATATTGAATATTTTGAGGTTAAACTGTACTGCAGCACATAATTAAGCTAGTGAATGTCTACCATCACCATCGGTCCCTATACATTTGAGAGGTTGCTGTACGCTGCTGCCCTTATTTTTCTTGCTCATCATTAAATAAAAAGAATCTTAACCATGTGACCTAACTTGATTACATGTATTGGTGTTTCCTTTAAAAAAATTTCCCCCTACAGCTTGTATTTCATAAACAATTCTGTTTTGTATCACCTCAAATATCACATTTTGAAGTTCTACTTTTTATCCCATTCATATTATAATTTCCATCTGTATATCATCATATAATAGTGAACTCATTTGCAGTAATTAAATGAGTACAGTATTTACTAAATACATTGTATTTTAATCCACATTTATAATATCATTAAAACATCCAGACTGGAAATAAACATCATATCTGTCATAGATGAATGCTTAGCTAGACTTTCGGTATGACTAGTACTTTAATTTTTCAGTTCACATACCATGGGCATTCTATTTTCTTTCAGTAAAAGTATAGAGTACCTAATATATTCAGAGGAACAGATAAAAGACACTTCCTCTTTTTTACTTTTTTCTAATTAATTTATGCCAGAGAAGGCATTACCTACAATGTGAGGAAATGGTTTTGGGGTAGTGGAGGTAGAAATGTTTCTAAAACTTCTTTCATTATGTATTGTTGCTTATGAGATAACTCATTTCAAAGCCTTGCACATAAATCACATGGCAAAGGTTTTTGTTTATTTTACCTTTTATTTTGAAATAATTGTAAATTCACAGGAAGTTGGAAAAATAGTACCACATGTACCCTTCTTACACCTTCCCCCAGTGATAACATCTTGAGAAGCTGTCATACAATACCACTTTGGCCTGTAATACAAAACCAAGAAATCGACATTGACGCATTACTGCTAACTAGACTACAGACCTTACTCAGTTTTTACCATTTTTTTAAGCTTACATTAGTTTGTGTGTATGTATGCATGGTGTGCATGTAGTTCTGTGCAATTTACATAGGTGAGGTTTTAATGTTTAATTGCTGATATCTGCATACAGTAGCCAAAATATTGGCTTTCCCTCCATCATATACCTCGCTTGCTGTCATCCATCTCTGCTATCACTGACAGATTTATATACCATTACCATTAGGACACCGGTTGTCAACCAGAGGCAGTTTTGCCCACTACAGGACGTTTGGAAATGTTTGGAGACATTTTTGGTTTTCACAACTTTAGGGGGATGGTGTGCTGCTGGCATTCAGTGGTAGAGATCAAAGACGCCTCTAAATATTCTATAATGTACAAGATACACTCCCCCATAAAAAAGAGTTATCTGGCCTCAAATGTCAGTAGTGCTGAGGTTGAGAAACCCTGCTGTAAAGGATGATTCCTTTTGAGAGGCAGGAGGCAGACACATTAGGAATCTGCCCCTGGTGTTTTACTCTTCTGCATGGCCTCCCTCCCCTACCTTTTAAATGTTTTTTCCTGGTGTTTGGGGAAGAGAACATTGTCTCAACTTCTAATGGCTTTCTCCCAACTTTTCCTTACAGGTTTTCAAAACTACCTGGCAACAAATCCATAAATTAATTCTATAACTTTGTTGAAATGTTACAAAAAATGACTTCTACATCCTAACCCTTGAATGATTCAAATCGGTGCCAGGTGGAGGACTCCCATCATATTCTCTCAGAACAAAACCAGACCATTCTGCTGTCTTAGTTTGTATATTTTCTGTGACTTGAAATAAACTTTAAACACAATTTTACTATACTGCAAATTGATATGCATGACCTTTTTGTTTTGAAAAAGTGGGATACCATGGGTGAAACCTTACCTGTATTTTCTTCCCTTACTGCAATTGTACTTTAATGTTATGTTGCCATACCTGTTTTTCCTTTCAGTTAACCATTTATTCTTCTTCATGATATTTGAGAATTTATCAGAAACACTGTTTTCTGAAACTTAGTTTTTACTGAGTTTGCTTCCACTGGGAATAATAAGATTTACCATTTGAGAACTTGTTAGAAGTTCTGAGTTTATTAGAAGACAATAGCACATGCTTAGAGCTATAAAATGGTTCAAAGACCAATAATGCAAAGAGTCAGGCAGAGCAGTATAGTTAGTTTAGAAAAATCCAATATCAAAATGCATTTTTTTGTCAATAGCAGGTCTAATCACATACATAGTTCAGAGTTAAAGATGTATTAGCCACTGGTTCTAGTCAGCAACACAAGAGACCATTGACATTTACTTCTCTGTTCTAAAACTCTTTTTCTTTTAATAAAAATAATTTTATTTTTTGGTTCTTTTAAAAATAGTTTACTGATTATACTATTACAGTAGTCCCACTTACCCCCTCCTCCCTGCACCCCCCTGCCACCTGCATCCCCCCCCGCCCACGCTTAGTTCCTGTCCATGGGTCATACATATAAGTTCTTTGGCTTCTACATTTCCCATACTATTCTTAACCACTTCCCCCTGTCTTTTTTGTACCTACCATTTATGCTTCTTATTCCCTGTACCTTTTCCCCACTTTCCCCACTCACTCCCCACTGATATTCCTCTATTGATCCCCATTTCTGTGATTCTGTTCCTGTTCTAGTTGCTTGCTTAGTTTGTTTTAGTTTTAGGGTTTTTTTTTTTTTGGTTCAGTTGTTGATAGTTGTGAGTTTGTTGTCATTTTACTGTTCATAGTTTTTATCATCTTTTTCTTAGATAAGTCCCTTTAACATTTCATATAATACAGGCTTGGTGATGTTGAACTTCTTTGACTTGACCTTATCTGGGAAGCACTTTATCTGCCCCTCCATTCTAAATGATAGCTTTGCTGGATAGAGCAATCTTGGATGAAGTTCCTTGCCTTTCATGACTTTGAATACTTCTTTCCAGCCCCTTCTTGCCTTCAGGATTTCTTTTGAGAAATCAGCTGATAGCCTTATGGGAACTCCTTTGCAGGTAACTGTCTCCTTTTGTCTTCCTGCTTTGAAGATTCTCTCTCTCTGTTTAATCTTGGGTAATCTCTCTCTGGGTAATCTCTCTGGGTAATGTAATTATGATGTGCCTTGGTGTATTCTTCCTTGGGTCCAACTCTATGGGACTCTGAGCTTCCTGGGCTTCCTGGAAGTCTATTTCCTCTGCCAGATTGGGAGAATTTTCCTTCATTATGTTTTCAAATACGTTTTCAATTTCTTCCTCTTCCTCTTCTCTTGGCACCCCTATGATTCAGATGTTGGAATGTTTAAAGTTGTTCCACTGGTTCCTAAGTTTCTCCTCATTCTTTTGAATTCTTGTTTTTTCATTCTGTTCTGGTTGGATGTTTATTTCTTCCTTCTGCTCCAAATCATTGATTTGAGTCCCAGTTTCCTTCCTGGCACTACTGGTTCCCTGTGTGTTTTCCTGTATTTCATTTCATAGCCTGACTTTTTCCTCTATTTTGAGACCATACTCAACCCATTCTGTGAACGTCCTGATTACCAGTGTTTTGAACTGGGCATCTGATAGGTTGGCTTTCTCTTCACCGCTTGGTTGTATTTTTTCTGGAGCTTTGATCTGTTCTTTCATTTAGACCATTTTTTTTGGTTTCAGTGTGCCTGTTACATAGAATGGGGCGGAGCCTTAGGTATTCACCAGGGTGGAAAAACCCACATCCCTGTTTCACACTGTATGTGGGGGAGGGGTCTGAGGGAACAGTGCCACTTGCTGGGTTCTTGGCTGGCTTTCAGCCACCTTCCCTGCTACCCACAAGTGAATTGGGCTCTTCTGGTGCTGATTCCTGGGTGGGTGGTTTTCAGTACATTCTAGGACCCCGTGGGTTTCCCCAAGGAACTCTCTCGTAAGGATAGGAGTTTCTCCTGCTGCTTCAACACCCACAGGTTTTTTCAGTCAGAAGTTTTGAGGCTTTATTTCCTCACACTGGAACACCCTGGGTTGTGGTGGGCCATCTTGCTCCCCAGTTGTTCCTCCTGGTTTATCCATACACAGATGTGGGACTGGGTGTCTGCCATCCACCTCCTGGCCGCCAGTCCCCTACATCCCCACTGCCTATCTCAGCCTCTCCTACCAGTCTGAATGAATCTTTAACTCCTTGGTTGTCGGACTTCCATAAAGTTCAATTTTCTGACAGTTCTGGTTATTTTTTGTTTTTAAAAAACAAAAACATTTGTTGCTGTCCATCTTTTGGTTGTGCATGGGGGCAAAGTGTATCTACCTATGTCTCCATCTTGGCCAGAAGTCACCGACCCATTGTGCATTTTTCTAAGACCTTATTAAGTTTAGACAGCTAAAATCCAGGAAATTGGCAACAGTAGGGGTGCTGCAATCTATTCCTACAGAAACATCCACTAGTACTTTTCATTGATGTCCAATTAATAAATGAAACAAATTACCATGAGTTCATGACTTTATTTTCTTCAGACTAGTGACTGAAAAAAGTCAATCTTACTAATGCTCCAAGTCATATAGATTGCTAGATAATTAGAAACAATCATTTATTGATTTTGGTCACTTAATGGTAGAGAAAGAAATATGTGCTATAATGCTAATTCAGCAGAAGCATTCCTATAAATCTGATAGATTGAATTGTCTTTGGGCACAATGAAGTGTGAGGGTTTTTCTCCCCTCTTTTGAGGGACCTGGTCTTCTACTGATTCATTGTGACGACTAACATTCCATAGCCAGGTTGATGGGAGAAATCAAAAGCATTTTAATAGAAAGAAAAGGCATTTTGCTTATGTCTTTATTTGAATGGTTTGCTCATGAATAAGGTATGACCAAAAGAAATTACCAGGATTCTAAATTACCTTTTTTTTTTTTTAACTAGAGATTAGCCCTGGCTGGTGTGCCTCAGTGGATTGAGCTCTGGCCTGTGTGCCAAAGGGTTGCCAGTTCAATTTCCAGTCAGGGCACATAGCTGGGTTGTGTAGGCCAGGTCTCCAGTAGGGGGCATGTGTGAGGCAGCCACACATTGATGTTTCTCTCCCTCTCTCCATCCCTTCTCCTCTGTCTAAAAATAAAATCTTTCTTAAAAAACTAGAGATTAATAAACCCCCTTAATAAAAATGGCGATAGAGAGCAACTACTGACTAAAATTGTCCTAGGATCGAGTTCAAGCTTTCACAATTATTTCCAACAGAGCACTGCAAGCTAATGACACCATAGCCTACTCGCAATTACACAATTTCAATTATGACTAGGATACGTTTAAGATTTTCTTTCCCAAATGGAGAGCCTAGCTAAAGTAAAAAGTCATGAAGCAAAGAAAAAAAATCCTTCATTTTTTTGACAAGGAAAATTAAAGCATATATAGCTGTTCATACTGGATAAGACCATGTTTAAAAATAACAGAGGAAGGGAAGGTGGTGAGATAGGTGGTAGCAGAGTCCGCATCCCCCTGCACACAGGTGAAACACTTAGTCAATATACTGAGGAATAAAGCGAATAGCCAACAGTATCCCAGCATATATGAAGATTGGAGACCAAAACTTATAGAGGACATTGAAAATTCAGATAGTAAGGAGATTGCTTCAGGACAGTGAGGTCCCTGGGACCAGTGTGGGAACCAGAGCGGCTGCAGCCCCAGGTCCGGCACCTGCCAGGTCTGCCACAGGGTTCTTGGGAGAGAGCTGAGTCAACGCCTCCCTCCCCAGCCAAACAAGGTTTGAGCAGCACCAGGAGATACCTGGTTGCTTGAAGTTGCAGAGAGGGGAATAAGATTGAAGTGGCAAACACACCGGGACTATGAGCACCCATGGAGTCTGTGGATGCCAACTGGGAAGAGTTGAAAATTGGGCCACGACGGCCCCTGACCCTGATAGTCCTCGGTCTAGTTGGAGAGGTGGGCTGTGTGAGAGGACAGGCCCTTGTACAGAGCATCAGGCTTGAGTAGGAGGAATTTCTCAGAAAGAAAAAGCGAAGAGACACTTGGTGGCTTCTTTGGGAATTCTCCTGCAGCAGCAGCTCTGGCCTCCTCCCCACCCAGCTGTGCAGCACTCCCACGGTGGTGTGGAAGGCCCTGCACTCACCATGGAAGCCCCAGGGGAGAGTGTGTACCAAGGAATGCCCCACACTCACACCCATACCAGCGCAGAGAGTACACACACCCAAATCTGGGGAGAGTGTGCACCCGAACCTGCAGGACCAGAGACTGTTGGGGAACTGGGCTGAAGACTGGCTGAGTGATCACGAAAGGAGAAAAGTGAAACAAATAACCCCTTCAGTCTGCTGCAGCCAGGAAGACCAGCAGAACTGCCTTGGCCAAATTGAAGTCAGCAGGAGGACTTTTTAAAAAAGTAATTATTTATTTTAATATTATTTTCTTTTAATTCCTTCTTCATCTCTTTCCTACTTTCTTTTTTACACTTCCTTTCTTTTCCTTTTTATCTCTTCTTCCTTTTTTTTAAATTCCCACAAGTGAGACAATAAAATCTATAACTATGAAAACACCAGAGTTGGACCCAAAGAGGGGCATTCCAACAGCTGAGACAGTGAGACAAATTTCACTTTGCTACTCCAGAGAACTTGCAAGTTATTGTATATTTCTATTATTATTTTTTATTATTCTTTGATCTTTCATTTTATTAGTATTTTTCTACTTCTTTCTGTTTAGTCTTCTTCACTTGACTGGTTAAATTTCATTGTTTGATTGGTTTCCCATCTCTCTTTCATAGCGTATTGTTAATTTACTATATTTCATTTCACTTGTGTCCCATTAGCACACTAGTCTAGGTTCTATAGCTCCTATTCTTGTTATCCAGATCACATACATTCTGCCATATGATT